AATATTATAAAAATATTTATTAAAATATATACAATTATATACTTTTTTTTCTTTTTTTAAACTTTTCTTAAATTAAAAAAAAAAAAATATTATATATATATATATATATATATATATATATGTATATATATGTTTTTAGTTTTCACTTTATATTGTTTCATACGCTACTTAATTAAAATTAAATTGTACTTCGAAAATTTGCTTACCATTGCCGAGATTCGAACCTATGAACCTCTGGTTTTTGAGTCGTTTACCTTACCTACTGCGTCACTATCACTTTGACTGAGAGACGCTTTGTATTGTATTGTATTATAAACTGTGACGTGGTGGTCCTGAAGGCACCCGTCACAAGGGTGCGAGGACCAACGCTGGCCTATCGTTGCGTGCGTCTCACATTTTATAGCGCAGAGGTCGTTTTGCGAACGCGAGGACGCCGGTCGCGTGATACTTGGCGGAAATTTAGTGAATATGAGCGAAAATGGGATCGGAAGAGTGGATTGGTCCCGCGCCCCATAATTTGTGTCCCCAAGCTCCCTTAACCGACCCGATGGAGGAGGATCCAAAGGAAAACGTGGAATCGGAGGGAGTCAAGACGAGTCGCCTATCCTTATCAAGAATCACGGTTTAAAATAGAACTCTGATAGCTCACGGAGCTTTAACTCTCAATCACCTAGAAATAAGAAATTGTCGTCCCAAGTTTGGTTGCCGCTGACGGTGTTTATGATTTCCACAACAAGAGGCGTAGAGGAGAGCCGCCGGAGCGGAACAACTGACGGCCAACAACAATAACGATGTCGGAAGATCAGATACGGATGGCAATAGGAAAGAGAAAACAAAGGCAATCGTTAAAATCGTGGTGATTGGAGGAGGCCGAAAGAGAGAGAGAGAGAGAGAGAGAGGGGGGGGAGGGGGAGAGCGATAGCGGCGGGAGAAGAGAAAAAGGCAGAACAAGGAAGAGATTTTTCTTTTTGCCACGGGCATGCAAACGGTCGTATCGATATTGTTGGTGTTACGGCGAACAAAGAGAGCCGCTTCGTGTGTCGAGAGCTTAATATCGTTACCGAGCTAACCCTATCGAAAAAGAATACCGTGGTCGAAACCCAACGAGAGGACGAGCGAGGGCACCCACGACTAACCGAAATCGGGGACGAGCGAGCTCATACCGGAGATCATCAACGAGGGTCAAGGCCGAGGAACGAGCTCCGAGAATCTGTAAGACCAATCACTCGTTTCCATTTGTAGCATGACCGTTGTCGTACCGTCCGTAGCGAGGATTGGCCGCGCGAAATAAAAGGAAATTCGAAAGCCGTAACATCCCGCGACCTTAAAGATCGTCTCACGCTAATTGTGTATACCCATATCACGAAAGGATTTATCGCCGGATCATTGTACTTTCGTGATTATTGGAACGAGCGTGTTCCGATAAAATAAATTAACTGATTACCGCACATACTGGTCTCCAGATTGTCTCGACCGTACTTGCCCCTTCTCCTAACACACACTTCCATCTCCGACTTTAAACAACAGTGGAGCTACCAGTCCCGTGGAGTTCCTGATTTTGCGACGAAAGGACACCATTCCGTATTTTGGTGTCAATATTTGGTGAGGAGGTGCGGCCTTACCGCACCTGGCGCCCAACTTGGTGTTCGCAATTTGGAGTCGCGGATCGGGGGTCGCGGAAATTTGTCGACGCGGCGGATAGGCGACTGTCCGTCTTGATTAATAAGAAAAGACGTCACAATACATATATTGTATCCATATACGAAAACAAATTATTTATTTAAAAGAAGAGAATATAATATTATATAAAAAATCAGAATGTTTTTTTTTTATAATAAAAGAAATTTTAATTTGAAACCCAAAAAATACTTTTAATATTAGAAAATAATTTATTTAGATTTATAAAAAGATTTACTTGTACTTTATTTTAAAACAAGCAAACATTTATTTAAACACAATTTTTACATTTAAAATGTCTTCTTGTAAGGAGATCATTTTTTTCTAGAAATTCATAATTTTACAGCTTATTTTACAAATTTAAAAAATATTATTTTATGTTTTATATGTTTTTTAAAGTGTAACAAATATTTTTTTAAATTAACAAATTATATTTAACAAAATATATTTCTTTGATTTAAAGAATTTTTTCAATATACATTACCAATTTACATTTTGATTTTCTTATTTCTCCATTAATTTAATAATTATAAATAATTACATTAATTTTTGCATTATTGCATTAAACAACTGCATTAAATAATTAAATAGAACATCGCGCTGATAAATTTAGTAAATCTTGAAAATATTTGAGAAATGATGAAAAATATACAAGAGATATTATACATATATTATTAGTACATATACAGGGTGGACCATTTTAATCCATCCAATAGCATATGTCGAAAACCAAGCACGGGAGAGAAAAATTTTTCAGATAAAAGTTGTTTGGTTTCGAGGGGACCATAAGATGGTACCATTGTTTTGACCTTGAAGAATTATTTGAAAGTCACATGAAAGTCACCTCAATTTTTTTAAACGGCATCCCCTATTTTTTATTACATATTCTTGTAGCTGACCTCGAGAGCTTTCCAAAACATTCTAATGAAATGTTTCTGAATTGAGTACTTTTCGAGTTATAAAGCTCCAAAGTTGCAATATGAAAAAATTCAAAATATCTCGTTAAGTATTCACTTTCCGTCTTATCTTATACGATTCAACTAGTCAAGGCAAGAATTGGACATGATCCAACC